TCACACCAACATACTTTCACGATTTCAATTTGACTTTTCCATAATCCGTGACTGAGACATTGTGGTGCCAAACCAGGACGATTCGGCTCCCCCCATTTCTTTGTTTATCTGTCTGTCAGCCTAGGCCACACATGTCGTACATTTTTATAGTCTGGGCGTGCTGTGGATGATGAGTGATTGCCATGTTTGGAACAAAATTTTGTTTCCAACTGATTCAATCCAGTAATTCTTAAGTTATTATTTGAGCAATATGGACTCTTTGGGATTGAATTGCCACGGTTATTTAACCCTAACCCCCTAGGCCTTTTTGCTAGGAACCATCCTCAATCCTCCAAAATTTGACAACAGCGCCTAAATTCTTCAAAATTTTCAGACAGTCCTGCCTCAAAATGCATTCATCCTCAATCCTCCAAAATCCTCCTCATCCAAAAATGTTGCACTTACATGTATGTTCAAATGAAGGGTACCCAGCCCCTCAATCCTTCAAAATCGTCAGACAGTCCTGCCTCAAAATACCATTCAGCCTCAATCCTCCAAAATCCTTTTCTGAAAAATACCATTCAGCCTCAATCCTCCAAAATCCTTATAAAAAATACCATTCAGCCTCAATCCTCCAAAATCCTCCAAAAACCACAAGGAGGATTTTGGAGGATTGAGGAGGGTTAGGGTTTAAGTTGACGTTTTCCATTGGACTCAGAGGGGTTTACATGCATGTATGCAAGTCTAAGAAAAACAATTCTTTTTAAGTGACAAACCAAGGGGGAGGACGGGGAGGGAGGGTTTACCCTCCTCAATCCTCCAGTCTTTTTTTTTTTTTTAGGTTTTGGGTGGATTTTGGAGGATTGAGAAAATGGTCACCCCTCCACTGAACAAATTCAAGAAATATCAGATGATTTTGTAGGATTGAGGCTGAATCAAATTTGTGGTGGCAATTGGAGGATTTTGCAGGATTGAGGATGGTCCCTAGCCTAAAGGGGGTTAGGGTTCATGGGCAATTTGAGCTTGATCCCTGTTGGAAAATAAACATGAATTCAAGCAGAAAGACTTGAGACAAGTTGGACATATCAAACCATTTACCACATTTGTACAAACAGGAATGGATACATAATCAGGCAAACTTTGTACTTTGAGTTTGAGTTAACTTTAAGTGCATGGTTATGAAATATGACAACTCAAAACTGACTGCTCTAAATATGTACCGGTCGGTAGTTCACTTTTGGCCAAGCAATTTATCAGTCTGATTTCACCCTCAATGGGATGGTCTTCTGTACAAAGTTTGGACTAGAAAACTCATGATCAATATATATGTCCAAAATCTGCCAAAAATATGGTGTTGCGGCTTGCCCTTGATCTCCAAATTTCACACTTGCAGCCCTCATCTGGGAAGTAACAGAAAAAAATTCCAAGCTTGACAAGACTTCACATGGTTTTTTTCTTCAGTTTCCAATGATATAAGTGTGAAGTGAGAAATGAGGAACTCATCTGCTCCAAGAAAAAATTGCATGTCTGGGCCCTGTATGAAACAGCATACCACAATCAAGCTAAAGGATCAGTAGGTAGATTGTATTTGGTTTGGGCTTTTTAAAGCAAAGTGTGGGGGAAATACCAAATGAAATGCTCAAAAGAGGTCACTAAAATTACTAGGTTACAAAACTCCACTAAATAACAGGCTGGTGCAGGTATTTTACCTAGTCGTCCACACTCTGCATACATTTGTATATAAAAAAGTACTGTACATTGTACGTAGTCAGTACAAGTCCATTGTACGTAAAACATGTGTATCCAATGAAATGTTGGCTGGTTGAACCCCACACAATGAGCACCCTACAGACTTGAACTTTCAGTCTAGAAAGTTTTAATCATTGTTTACTTAAACCTTTGTATCAATTCCTTTGCACCTCGCTTTTTTCCCACCTTTGCTTTGTCACTAACTGTGGGAACTCTGGTCGAGCCTGTAGATCTACTGAAAAAGCCATTGTCAATTCGCCATTGTGAAGTCTGTAATCATAGTGAAAATTCAGCCAAGCACGTTATAGGTTCTGTCAATGACAGACCTCATATTTTTTTTTCCTTCAGCGTATGATCTGGGACGGTCCATTGTGCAAGCATGATCCCAGTAAACTGAATAGGGCTGTGAATTTGAACTGGGTACCCGAACACCCGACTGTGGATGTTGTCAGGTAGGCCTACATGTACAGGTTCCAGATTATGGGATCGGGTACCCGTAACCAACTTTACATATACTTAGTAATTTCTCAGACAATGAAAAAAAAAAGTTTTGAATGTAATTTTGAGGGTATTTTCAAAATGAAAACCAGGCTACATGGGAAAACAAAACATTTTAGGTTTATGATGCTCGCAAAAATTGCAGTTTACACCGTAGGCCTATAGCCTAAAGCTCACTGTACACAATTGTGTCTTGTCGCATTGACGCACTGATATGTGGTACAAGTGGTACATGTATATCGTGCGAACCTCTATGAACAATCTGAACACCAACTTCTGAGATGTGCATTTTGGGGTTGGGTTTCTTTAAAGGGAAAATACAACATTTGCAAACATCGAAAAATATGAAATACCTCACTAGGATGTTGGTAAATGACAGTCTAAAGCATCCTGTAAAATTATGGCACCTGGTGTGAAGTCATTTTTAAGAAAATTATATTTTTGTATAAATTTCCAACAGTGGTTGACCAACCACCGTTGGAAAAACCTCACTATTTTTCAACTACTGCTCTAAATTCACCATTTTTTTCAGTCCAAATTGTATTTGCGATTGGGTACATGTTCATGAACCGGTGCAGGCCAGCTACATTGTAGACTGGTTCCCTTACCTTACAAATTTCCGGCATCTATAAATTGATCCATTTTATCTTTAGTGGAGTCAGACTACTAGACTAACTAACCAGACTACTCCACCATTTGTGTTTTTCTTGGTTTTCCAGCATTTTCGATCACAAAACTTTAAACATGTCAGTGTAACAATATTTGATCTATCATAGTAACCGCTCAAATAGTTCATTTCTGAAAATTACAGCAAAACCCAATGATGTACACATTCCCTTTAACCAGGCATGCAACAGGGGATTAAAAAAAAACGAGAAAACTCCAAACCCCAGAAATTTAAGTTGCATGCCTGTTTAATGGGTACCCGGGAACATGTGTTTTTATTCCATCGGGTAGCGGTTCCGTACAACCTGTAAACACACGTACATGTACACTCCTAGTCTTTTGTGCAAGCATGATACTGGAACATGGAACACTGCAAACTGTGACCAGAGGCAGTTGGGTGCTGACATTTGGGGAAGATGGATGCACAGTGGGAATTCATGTGGACAGACGGTACAATGGAGATGTCAAAATAATTCAGTAGTTCAACGGTTGAATCCATGTTAGTCAATGCCCGTTTGTAATCGCATTTTGAAAGAATGTTGCATCCTGGCCCCACTTTTTTCATCATATAGGCCTATTATCTCAATGGTTAGTCATTGCAAATATGTTGAAAAGACATCAATCTAGGATTGAGAAACATTTCAAATTTTGTTACAAAATACTTTGAAAATGCACTCGACTCTCCATATAGCCTTTGTACACAGCCAAAGAAGTGGCGTCTCAAAACTACATTTTAAGAATGTATCAAAGTTTAAGAATAAATAAAATGTTCTTGTATGTTTTCCTCAAAAGGCCTTTCCATTTTTGATATACAAATTGTGCATGAACAGTGTATCTCTGTTAAATTTTTTAAACAAATGGCATCAAAAGGGTTTCAATTACTGTTGAATACCGTGCAACGTGACCATCCGATTGATAATTGTGAGTCGTTCTTGCAAAATGAGGCAGAACTGGGCAGAAATAAAAATTAGCGTTTGTATGTGTAAATGGGGGACACATCTGTGAATACAATTTACACACCTTCCAACTGAGAACAGTTGCCCAATCGAGGACTGTCCTCGATTGGAAATGGGGCAAAAATAGTTTCCAGACCAAAGTCACGTGATTTCGTGTAGTTTTGGCGAGAAAAGAGTCCAGTCCTCGTTTTTGCGAGGTTTTTCATGCGGGGTGTTATGCTGTGTGAAATCAGCCGCCCAATGGAAAGTATGCTTGGCCAATCAGGGGCGTCCTTCTTTTGGTGGGAAAATCCATGTCACGTGATAAATATTTTAGCGCCCAACTGAGGATCAACGTGCGGCCTGAACGCATGCCGAGCACGCAGCGCTTAAGGAGGGCCGGGTCGACATTGTCCGACGTGAATTTTTTTTTTCAGTTAGTTGCGGTCGGAACGGTTAGGAAAGAGACAAATTCTCCTTACAATACTGTTTGTTGCACATCAATGGGACATTCCATTGACAAGTTATAATGGCTGTTTAAGGTTCCACTGATCAACATGTCAAAAAAAGCAAAATACTGAGAAAAGTCGTAAAAAATGAAAATGCCAATTTTTTCCCTTAGAAACACAACTTATTCCATCAATTTTATTGTATTTCTCAGTCTCATGGGGTTTGTGCACAGTACAGGGTGACAAGGTATGGAAATCTTTCCAACTTGCAGAATTTTCCATGTACAGGTAAATTGTGGAGGAATTCCTCCACGATATCACATCCACGGATCACAGACCGCCCAGCAGGATGAAATTCCCAAGAGCTGATTTCTGTCACCATCCTGACACATCAAGCTATCCCTCTGTGATCAAACCCACATTATTCCCTGACCCTCTGTCATGTCTAGTCTAGGGGTAGAGGCCTGGGTTCACTAGCTATGCTGCAGGAGTCAGAATACATGCAGTGTTCAGCATGGCACCCCATGGCCATAAAATGGACTCTCTCTGTCAACCGCTCAACACACACACACGCACAAACATGACAAAATGTCAACCTTTTCACCAAATTTAACTCTCCAATATGCAGCCTTCCCACCCCAAAATCTTCACTGAATTTTCACAAATTACTCACTACATCACAAGGAACAATAATTGATTAAAATAACTTGAGAAATATACTCACATGGGAGGGAAAATCGGGGTAAGAACATCCACAAGATGGCAAAAATTATCCAACGAGTCAAGTAGAATGCATAAAACTGAATTGGCTTTTTTTTTTTTTTTTTTGGCTGAGTGCTAGAAAGCTAAGCATCCATGCACAAAGGATTTGACTGGGCTGTACCATTCAGACTCTCTAACAGGGGGGTGTGAAGGGCTCTCCCAACAAAAGCCAGAGGGGCTTGGATCAATATTGTGGGTTTTGGGCCTCATTTGCATGACAATTAGGGCAAGCACTCACACTGGCCTAGCTGCCTTGGCAAAACATTCCTGTGACAGAGGGATTTGAAGTGGGGCTTTTGTGCTTGTGGGGTCAGAAAGTTATGGGAGACAGTGCAAGGTAATAAGAAAATAATTGCTCATGACACAATAGATTGGAATCACCCTTCCACAGGTGCATGCTCCTGCAGGCAATTTATGGGAGGCCGACAATTGATTGTACATTTTGAGGACATTATTTTCGGACAATTTGGAACCAAAAATTTGTTTGGGAAGAAATGTGAAAATGACTTTGTGAAATGACATTATAAGGGATATTTCAGATTTTTTGGTACCAGTAGAATATATTGGGAAAACTTTGCCCGGTCACCAAAAAAAATCTAAGGACATATTCCCTGGGGAAAACAATTATCCTTTTTCTTCTGTAGGCCTACATGTATATATGTCAACAATAGTTCTGAAAGTGAAACTCTGCAAACTAAACTCTACAACATTTGATGATTTTTTTACTGACCTTTTCAGAAGACGGCTTCAACCCTGATTTTGAGAGACATCCCAGAAACTCACTTACTATCAATCACATCTGAAATAAAAGAAACAGAAAATTTAACTTAAAGGGAATATACAACATTTGCAAACATCTAAAAATAAAACTACCAAGTTTTTGCGAAATACCTTAATAGGATGTTGGTAAATGACAGTATAAAGCATCCTGTAAAATTATGGCACCTGGTATACTGTCATTTTCAAGAAAAGTGGTATTTTTGTATCAATTTCCAACGCTGATCGGCCGATCAGCGTTGGAAACAACTGGCTTTTTTTTCAAATACTGGACCCAATTGACCATTGCACTTGTTTGCAATCAATTACAAACCTATGAACGGGTAAGAGCCAGCTAGACTGGTTCCCTGACCTTACAATTCCCCAATGTATGTAAACTACTCTGTTTCTTCTTTTATGGAGTCAGGGAACCAGACTACAGGAAAATGATCGTTTTTCTTGGTTTTTATAGCATTTTCGAACCCAAAACCTCCAAAAAGTCAGTGTAACTATATTTGCTTTATATTTCCAACCCCCCAATTCCATCCATTTCTGAAAATTACAGCAAATGATGTATATTCCCTTTAACAAAGTACCGGTACTGTGTATGTATAACGACAGTTTTGCAGATACGAGTGGGCGAATGTGTACAGGACCTTCTCCTAGTGTAAGAGAAAAAAATTCAAATTTTAATTTATTTAACTTAACCAGTTGGCATGTCAATCATAGATAGAGGGCAGGGTCTTGAATTTTTGAGGACATTTTGGGGTAAAATGACTATGAAGATGACAAAACGCAACACGAATGGCAATCACAGCGCGGCTGCCCACCCCGTGAAAGCGCAAAACCACACTGATTCGCATGGCACCAACCGTAAAATGCGCAAAAAATGTCGTATTTTCTACTGCAAGAAACTGTTCAAAATTACAACAATTGGTATCATTAGAATTAAGAAAACTCTACTTCAGGTTGAAAAAGTCATTTTGGAATGATAAAAAACCATCCTTTACTCTTAATTTGACCAATACTAAAGCGGGGCCCGTGTACACTATCCTGGATTTGTGTACATCACAAGTCAATCACAAGTCAATTAATCACAAGTCAATCGCAAACTCCAGCCCCCAAATCAAATTATTTAATGAACCGTGACAAATTAAGGCATTCCTTTGTACCATCACAATCAATTCCCAAGCTACCTGGGACTGGAGTTGGGAATGGATTGTGACAGGACTTGTGATGGACTCAACGTATACAACCACAATAATCATAAGAAATTAAAGGGAATGTACATCATTGGCTTTTGCTGTAATTTTCAGAAATGAACTATTTGAAGGGTTAGTGTAATAGATCAAATATTGTTACACTGACATGTTTGAAGTTTTGTGTTCGAAAATGCTGGAAAAACCAAGAAAAACAAAAATGTTCAGTCAAGTAGTCTGGTTCCTTGACTCCACTAAAGATAAAATGGATCAATATATAGATGCCGGAAAATTGTAAGGTAAGGGAACCAGTCTAGCTGGCCTGCACCCGTTCATGAACATGTAACCAATAGCAAACAAAATTTGGACTGAAAAAAAGTGTAAAGTTGGAGCAGTAGTTGAAAAATAGTTAGGTTTTCCAACGGTGGTCGGCTGACCACCGCTGGAAATGTATACAAAAATACCATTTTCTTGAAAAGGACTTCACACCAGGTGCCATAATTTTACAGGATGCTTCAGACTGTCATTTACCAACATCCTAGTAAGGTATTTCGTAAAAACTTGGTAGTTTTATTTTTCGATGTTTGCAAATGTTGTATATATTCCCTTTGAGCTCTTTTTTTTGCAAAGCCACCAACTCCCCCCCCCCCCCAAAAAAAATAATAATAAAGAGGAAATTGATAAGACTTCAGAAGACTTTGTACAGTGGTTTTCAATTATTAATTTCAGACATGGGAATCGGCTAATCTGAGAAAAAGTTGCACGCCTGGCTATTTAATAAAATTTCAGTAAAAACATTATTGATGTTGACTGTTGGGCGGAAACCAGCCAATAGATAACTCATGAGAACAGCAGTTACACTTAAAAAAATAAGTTAAATTTTCAAAATGTGGAAAGTACAAAGTAACTGAATGTAAGCCAACTTTTTTTTGGTTGATGTCTCATTCAAAAGTGAATAACTTTTGAATTCCTAGAAAAAATTGCTATTAAAAAAAGGAATCTATTTTTTTTTTGGGGGGGGGGAAATGAAATTTGAAAAAAAGCCCAGGGAATAAACCTTGCAAGCCTAAATGGTCTAGCAGTACATTGAGTTTTTTTTTTTTTACACATGTATAGTCTACAAATCAGGCAGGTAACCAGTCTACCTGGCCCTGCCTTTATTCCTTTGATTTAGTGGATCAATACTGAGTGACCTCTTGACCTGAATGGAGTAAGATTCCTCTATAGGGTGACAGCCAATAATGAAAGTGTCCACATTCCTGAGCTGTGACCTAGCAACCAGATCTGGAATGGGTATTAAATCAAATCACCCACAGTCTGAAAACTTTAATTATTGAATTTGACCAATGCAGCTGGGTGTAGTTTATCCATTTGCCATCAAGAAAAGATTCATGTTTTGTTGAAATTGCTAATTTCAAAAGAGTGAAACTTGGGAAGTTAAATTTGAACTACATGTACATGTAGACAATATACCGGGTAGCGTGAAAATCAATCTAATTGCAGTCGCAGATAGAAATACTCCGAAAAAGTATCAAATTCAATTGAGTGAAATAAAACTTAATTGATCTTTTTGAGTAAAATAATTTCTGGTTCCTAGTTTCAGTCAGTCCCAAAGAGTCAGTTTTCACTCAAATAGTACGAAATAATTTTCATTTTTTGAGATCAAGTACTTTTGCCTCATCAATTTTTGTCCGGGATTAATGAAAGTGAGTCACTCTCATTTTCTTTTCTCTAAAAATACTGCAAGAAAGCTCTGGCAGACAGAATATTGTCTCCACTATCCAAATTATAATGTGACTTACGTGGTTATTTGTCAACTGTTTTACACGAACTGGTTTTGTTTAACTACTTTTTTAGTACGAACATTAACTCCAACAAATTTGATGACAGTAGATTCTATTTAAGCACAACAATTTTAAAAAGTCTTTGTACGGTACATCTATCTTGCTCTTAAAAATATTTTCCTGAAAACAAATTTCAAGGACTAAACATGTGGTGCTTAGCATTTTATACCAAAGGTCTCAAAGCGCTTCACAATTACAGCAGTCGGACGGTGAAAAAGGAGGACATGATGTCTTTTGGACAATTCTGAGGATATCCAAATAAAAGAAGGTTTTTAAAACGTGCTATCCTAAAAACTAGACAACCGGAAACAGATCGTAAATTTCACAAGTAGGGAAATTTACTCTGAGAATTTATTGCGAATTTATTATCAACGTTAAGCACATTCAATGGCTTTGGGTAGGCCTATTTAATTCATATTCTTCTGGAAAAACCAGAAATACTTTGTACAAAATTTACCCCTGGAAGATATTTTAAAAAATGTTAAGGATTTCCGCAAATTAAATGGGGCAAAGGCAACGTACTTTAAAAACAAGTAAAACACCAGAAATCAGCCCATAAGGCCAAAAAAAAAAGTCTCCGGTTTCTGGTATGGAGCTTGCCCAAAAAGTGGTGCGGCGACGCGGCTTTTTTTTTTTTTTTTACCCGATTTTTTTTGCTTCAAATGTCGGCTGATGACTGCAAATGGTGCCCGACTAAACTTAGTGCAAATATATGGGAATCCAGAGAGGCCACATAAAGCTTATTCTCGATCATAACCCCATCTAAAAACACGTTAAAATTGTGCAGCACCAGGATTCCAGTCAAACCAGTGAGTTTGGGGTTTTGAGACATCATCTTTCATTGAAAAAAAAACTTTTACATTTTGCCAACGCGCATGGCTACGGCGACGCGCGCGCGCATACCAGAAACCGGAGACTTTTTTGGGGGGGGCCTAAAGATTAGGTTTTTTTCCTGTCATTTAAGTACAATTTGAAGAAAGAGGATAATTTAAAACAACTTGCATTTGGTTTTCTCATGAAACCAGCAACGTGCAGTATATAAGGCTACGGCAATACGATGGATCTACAAATGTGCAAAGTTTCGTAAACCCCTTACACCAGGGACTGTAACAAACCCACAAACAGCTTTAGCTAAGAAATATGCCAATTAGGGAGCACAATGGCGGGCAAGGATTAAGGGATGTAAGGTACATGCACGCTTCATTAGGCCGCTGGTCAATTGCATTAGCGGACAAAATCTTACCACTGGGGAGTCCATCAAGCAGTTTTTGAAGAGAGAGAAAAAATACCTGCCACCTGCAATTTGCAATAATCTAGA